TTTTGGGACTAAATTATTAGCGTCGTTGGAAGTGAGGTCCACGGTGTCCTCGTCGAATACGTTAAAACTTGATTGAAGTAAAGGGTCGTATGATGTTGATGCCAACTGTTGGGCTTAATTCGTGACGTAATATTCAGGATCGGAAAAAGATCAATGGTTCGGATCGGTTATAAGTATATGTGATTCTATATGTGACGGGTCCGGAAATAACGGGTGAGAATAATCAATGTGAGGGGGGATATTATTAATTGGCGAGTAAACGTCTGAAGAAGGGGATCGTACGATTATTCGTGTTGGATAAATTTGGACATTAAGATTTAAGGGTCTGCGTGTCCTACGTTCGCGCAGCCTATGGAGACGTCGCTCGCTACGGTCGATCTGATTCCTCCGTCGGAAAGGAGAGACCATCTAACGGTTAGATAAATTTATATGAATAATATGTTTCGTTGAAGAGAGATTGCTTTATTACTTAAAATAATTAAGTATGACTCACGTTTGCAGCGTGATTTACTTGTTAATGAAAGCGAACGGAGATGAAAGGTTAATCTATGTGAAACTGCCCTTCACCTGTTAATGAATTAACTTTATGTCAGTGATTGTTATAATAAACCTGTATAAAAAAAAAAAGGATTGGTAATAATGTGGGTGAAGAAAGAAAAGGGTTTGAAAAGGAGTATTGATATCTATCGAGGCTGGGAATGAAGTTTTGTATGTTATCGGCTATAAGTAAAGTATCTCTAAGTGGTAAAGTAAATTTCTATTTTATCATTAGTTGGTAACGTAAAGAATATTAATATTTGTACCTTCAAACATCGAGGGTTAACGTTTTAAACATTGAAATAATGATTATAATAGTTTGCATTAAAAGAAGAGAGAGATAGTGATGCAGGGAGAGGGTAAGGATTTGAATATGAGTATTAATATCGATATTCTGAATATTAATACTCGATATGTCGATAATTATACTTTAGGCTTTGAAATAAATAAATTCTCAATGATTTGTCAAGATCACTGTCAGTCGGTGTGGTAAAGTATTCGCAACTATTTGAAAATGCAAGAGGTATCAAAAGCGTGAAAGGGATAGAGAGATAGGTGTTCATCCGGCTAGGCCGGGTTCTCAGGTCCTTGTCTTATTAGGCTAATGCAACGTTCACTTTACTAAACGTGCACCTCTGGGATGGCTTGCGAATATACCTTCTGACAGGATATTATTCTAATGTGTATTAAACAGGGTGAGGTGGAGTACACTGGTCAAAATGAGTTTAATTTCAATATGCAAGGATTCTGGGTACGTGTATTAATATGTATATCAAGAATATTAATACTTGTACTTTCAGGCATCAAAGATTAATGTCTTAAACATCGAAGTAATAATTCTTAGTAATTATCAAGACCTCTGTCATTCGGTTTGGTAAAGTAATTCGTTTGGATTATAGAGCAGAGAGAGAGTAAGCAGAGAAGGTTAAAGAAATACACTGTGACCCGTGTGAATTCTGGTCCTTAAAGGCTAATGCATACGTTCACTTTACTAAACGTGCATCTCAGAATCGTAGCAACGAATTTACCTTATGACAGAGTATCGTTCTATAGGTAGTAAATAGGGTTAGGTGGTGTACACTTGTCAAATGAATCGAATATCAATATGCAAAATCACTGTCAGTTGGTGTGGTAAAGTATTCGCAACTATTGGAAAATGCAAGGTAATAAAAGCGTAAAAGAATAGAGAGATAGGTGTTCATCCGGCTAGGCCGGATTCTCTGGTCCTTGTCTTAATAGACTAGTGACGTTTACTTTACTAAACGTGCACCTCAGAGATGACTTGCAAATGTACCTTCTGACAGGATATAGTTTCTAATGTGTACAGAGGAATTAGCGGCATTCAATTCGCTAATATGTGGTAGGATACAGGGTTACACATATATAAGTAAGCAGTAATACAATAAAATACATAAGTATATTTATTATAATAGATTGAGTAAGTGTGCGATATTGGTTAAATAGTATTAAATAGTATTGAGTAAAATATTGAATAAATCGACGATTGTAACGCAGACGTGTGCAGATGCAATACGTGGATCGAAATAATATCGGGAATGCAGAGTAATATATGGCTTATGTCTATATTCAAAATTTAGAGTTCGGAATGTAATGTAAGATTGAGTTAATATTGAATAATTAAATATAATGATTAAATATAATGAGTGTCCGTCGCGCTTTACTATTTAGGGATATGTGAACTGGCTTAAATACTCACAAGGTTAGACTATGTCTAATGTGCCTTGTTATGGTACACTTCGCTACTGTGTTCTTCCCTCTGAGTCTGAAGATCTGAGGAGCCTCGGTACCTCGGTCCGAAATGGCGGCTATGTCTCACCAAAATGGCGGCTATGTCTCGTTGTCTTCAGGACCCCGTAGTAATTGCTGGTTGAGTGCTGGATTGTTGTTGACTGGAATTACTGCGACGAAATCACTGCCGTTCCGTGCCGGGTGCAGGGTTTATATACCGTAAACTGTGGCTCGCTTCTCCCATCGGGTGATGAGGCTAAGCCAATGGTAAGAGAGATATGCCGGGGAAGTACCGGAGACAATCTGTTCCTGGTAGAGATTGCGACGGTTAAGTCCCGGAGAGATGGCTTCTTAGAAGCTATAGCGGCGTTCCTTTGATGACTCATCGCCGGGCGCTCCGACTTTTCTTATCGTATTCTTAGTAGCGATAGCAGTGCTTCTTTGGTGACTCAGCGCTATGCGGCTTGCAACGGGCCTTGCAGGTTGCAACGTGTTTTAGCGTTGCATCATGCATTGCATCATGCTTCTGGAATGTAACGGTTCTCAACCGTCTTTCTAGAATCTTCTAGAATCTTTTAAATGTTTCTTAAGAGTAAAGCCGAGTTCACATAATAAAGCGTGTTTCATACCTAACTACTTAATAAACGATATTTAGGTATTATCCCTTAGAATTTGCGATTTGAAATAAAATGCCTTGGACAGTTAAAACTTATCAATTTACATTTACATTGCTATATGTAAATTGATAGAGAGTTTGTGTCAGGAATGAATTTCTAAACTGTCCCTGACTAAGTTTAACACTCAATTTGTACATCTACATTGCATAGCTATAATATTTTCGATTGTATGACGGATATAATGTTATTATGCATATTGCATATGATTTTTGTCTCCTAATTTATAAATGAGAGTTTTAAGGTTAATAATATATTTGTTATAGGCATGCTTATTGGCTGGTAATGTTAGTCCTCATATTTGTCGTCGGTCGGTGAGGTAGTTTTCTACCTTATCATTAGTGGGCAAGTTTTGTATGTAGTTGGTAGGCAAGTTTCTGTTTTATCATTGGTCGGTAATGTTGATTTCTCTATTGTCGTGTGTTGGTTAGTAAAGTGCCGTCTAAAGAAAAGTTCTACATATTCGTGGCTGTATAAAGTGTGTAAGACACTCAGGGGTTAGAGCGTACGACGGGTATAGTATAATTAGGGGTTATAAACATACAATGTGTACGGTGCCTAGGGGCTCGTAAGTACAAATGGTGTAGAGTATACAGGGGCATTAGTAGCATGCAATATGTACGGTGTTTTAAGGGTTAGAACATACATTCGTTGTCTGATTTAGGCGCGCTTATTCTCTAACTTTTATGTTTCCTAACGAATGATCTAGAGCGGAGCACCCTTGTTAATTATGCCTTTTATGATAGAAATATTATTTAAAAGTGGGTTGCTACTCCCATTGTCATTGGTGAAAAAACATGTTTTAACTTATGAGTAATTATATGTGTGATTAAATATTCGTTAATACCGGTCTTTCATGCAGGTTAGAGATTGTCATGACTAGTAGGTTAAAGAATAAAATTTTGAAAAAAATTGAGACTTTGAAATTTGTCTGGACGTTACATTATCATGATTATTAAATTCTAACTATAAAATAATAGTAGAAGTTACAATTAAACTTTTCTATAATTTACATTCAAATATGAATATAAATTAAAGCAAATAAGATTATTTTAATCTATAACAAAATTTACGAAGTAATGCATTTTATTTCATATCGCAAAAGGAATCGACATATTCTAAAGAATAATACCTAAAATATATAGATATCGCTTGTAAAGTAGTAATTAGGTATGAAACCCGCTTTATTATGTGAACTCGGCTTTACTCTCAAGAAACGTCTAGAAGATTCTAGAAGATTCTAAAAAGACGGTTGAGAACCGTTACATTCCAGAAGCATAATGCAATGCATGATGCAACGCTGAAACACGTTGCAACCCGCAAACCATTATAGAAAGACCGTTAAAAAATATCACTACCAAGAATAAGATAAGAAAGGCCCGTTGCAAGCCGCATAGCGGTGAGTCACCAAAGAAGCACCGCTATCGCTACTAAGAATACGATAAGAAAAGTCGGAGCGCATAGCGATGAGTCATCAAAGAAACACCGCTATCGCTACCGAGAATAAAGGACGGTTGAAAACCGTTAGCGATGAGTCACCAAAGGAACACCGCTATCGCTACTAAGAAGCCATCTCTCCGGGACTTAACCGACGCAATCTCTACCAGGGGGCCTATTACGGTTTTCGAGTGAATTTACTCACTTTTCGCATTATCATTTCACGTGATTTTGATCACCCAATTATGAAACTGTCGAGTGAAAATGTGAAATAACTAGGCATTTCCGGTCTAGTAATCTCACATTTTCACAAGACAGATTCGCCGAGACCGCCGATAGTGTTAGAAGTGTGAGGTTAAAAATATTAATTAATCATGAACGTTACCGAAAAGCAAAAAAAAATATTATTAAGCTACATGAAAGAAAACGAGGATTTTGCAAGAGGCCGCTTGAGATATAATAGTGGCAATAAGAAAATATTAGTAAGTGTGTATCATATTATCTATAAATTAATATATACATCGAAATTCTTATCGTCAATGTCATTGTATTTTATTTATAATATATATATAAATATATAATAATATAGATATTAATAATAATAAATTTTATTTACACAGGATGATATGTGGACTGCCATAAGCCAATCATTAAATGCTACTGGAAATGGACCGCAAAAGCAAGGCAAAGAATGGCAAAAGGTATTTATAAAAGAAATTATAATGTCTTATTAAGTGATCAGAGTAACATTTAGCGATCATTCTGTAATAATCAATTCTGTAATTCTGATTACCAATAATTGTAAGCTCTGTATATAATCGCTGTGTGCAACGATATACAGAAGTTACAGTTATTGCTAACTAGTGTTACAGAATAGGCCTTTTATATTTACACTAGTATGATTAATAAGAAGCCTATTCTGTTACTAATAACTGTAAGCTTTGTATGTAATTGTTGTGCATATTTTATTAAATGTTGAAAAAGCATGCGCAGCAATTACATACAGGCTTACAATTATTGATAATTGTTATAGAATGGACTTCTAAAAAATTGCGTGTTTTATATAAATGTAGACATGGAGGGACTGGAAATCAAATGTATTAAAAAAATGCGCCCAAAATAAAAGTTACGCTGGCGGTACAGGCGGAGGACCACCAAAGATTCTTAAATTAACAGAACTAGAAGAAAATTTATTAGAAATCATAGATCCGGAAGCAGCTGGTTTGCCTGAGATACCTGAAGGAGGAAATTTTAGTAGAATTAAACAGAAAAAGTCTGCACCTAATGATACAATCTCAAAAAGATCCTCGAACGAATCTGCTAGTTTGCTTCAGATATCTGAAGCAGGAAATTTTAGTAGAATTAGACCGAGAGAGTCTGCACTTAATGATACAATTTCGAAAAGATCTTTGAAAGAATCTTTTTATACAAATGAAGGATCATGTAAGACTGTGCAAGAACAAAACTCATCTATTGCTGCGCAAATAAAAAGAGTATATACATATATGTGCATTCGAATATAATACATACTAATATAATATCATTAATAATGATTAATATGTTTAGTTTTAATAGGAATTAATAATAGATAATATGATAATATCCCAAATAATTTTTACATATTTAAATATTTTCAGAAATATACTTCTATATTACCTACAAACAATAAAATGTACAAGATAGATGTAACTAATAATAATCCATCAACTTCTACAAACACAGATTTTTTGGCACAGGTTAGTAAAATCACATATCTTTATTCACGAATAGAATGTATGCTCATATATTTATATATTTGTAATAAAAAATTAATCATTTATAGGAAATGGAAAGCAGCATTGTTGATAATATTGAATTTGAAGAAATTGACATTGATGAAATTAATGCTAATGTTAATGTTTTGGAGGATGAAATTAATGCTAATGTTGATGTTTTGGAGGATGAAAATATAAATACCGCATCACAAGTGAAAGTTATTTCTGAACGTTATGAAACACGAAGCAAAGGTATTAAATATTATTGATTTTTGTGCTTTTTTTAAATATTGATATTAAAATAAAATTAAATAGAATATAAAATTTTGAAACAATATTATATTTTAATGTTTCTTTTATTTTTCAGCTACCAATAGTAAAGAAAATAATTCTGGTGCAGCTGTGCAATTAATGCGTGAAAATCTTGAAATTAAAAATGAGAAATTAAGGATCTCTAAAGAAAAATTACTTTTACGGAAAGAAAAATTTGAATATTTAAAAGATATTTATTCTGACTATAAGTATATTTTAAGTAATATTGACTACAATGTTATGCGTTTAAGAGAAGAAATGGAGAAAATATCACCTACATATCTTACATAATTATCAAAAAGCTAAAAAATCTTTGCTATTTCAATTATTTATTTATATTTGTTATATTATAAATATATAATAAATAAACAATATTTTAAATAATTTTTAATAATTATATAAGACATAAACATGTAGGTGATATTTTCTGTACCTGATATTTTTTGCATCAGTATTATATGTTTAAAAGATACTTCTAATGTTAGCAAATATTTTATGTTATAGAGATTTTATGTTCAAAAGAGATTAGACACTGTAATGACTGTCAAACTGTGATTAATAAAAATAAATATGATTATAAAAATAAAAATAAATAAAAATAAAATTATATTTAATAAGGAAAACAATTAGATATTTAAAGACAAGGCTCGTGTGTTATTATAAAATTAAGATTTAGAAAGACAGGGCCAACTATAACGAGCATATTAAATTAGTGAGAGATGTAATGTCAACACATAATTGATTTATTTCTTAGTAAATACAATGATAATAAAAATAATAAAACGTTTCGGCTGTTACCTCAATAAATAAAATTATATAAATAAATTAAATAAAAATGTTGAAATTATAAGTGCCTATTTTGGAAATATGTATTTATGATTCTTTGCCGAACTTCATTCCCATTTTCCATTGCTATCTCTTGATATCTTGGAACTTCTAAATCTATTACATCATAATATAGCTCCGGTTCTGGAAGTCTCCAACGAATAGCAATGTTATGTAAAACGCAGGCAGCATTAACTATTCGAGCTAAAAATGAAAATATTTATGCAATATTTATATATGGTAAACATCTCATAACATATATACATCAAATGTAATGTTAATTGCAAATCTGTACTTAAGGTATTTTTAGTCGACGATCATTGGATTAATTGTGTGTGTGTGTGTATGTGCGCGCGCGCGCGTGTTTATGTATGTAAAAAAAAATTATATATATATATATATATATATATATTAGTTGCAATAAACATATTTTATATACGTTATGAGATAATAATATGATATATATATATATATATATATATATATATATAATACATTTTACATGCATTGCACTAAACATTTTGGCTATTATGTTGACGAAATGTCACGCTAACATTTCGGCATCAGCAAATGTCCCTCCTCTAAAATATTTCAGGAGAACGTTTTATTTGTAACGTTATTGCATTGTACAAGTATAGTTATACAAAATTCTATTGTTACATTACCTGTACGTTGTAATAACGTTACAAATGAAACGTTCTCCTGAAACATTTTAGAAGTTGGACATTTATTGTTACTGACATAAATGGCCACAATGTTTAATATTTCTACTTTCAGATTTTAATATCAATTATACCTGCAACTTCTGGTTCATAATGTAGAGCTCTCTCTTTTCTTAGGCATCGCCACCTTCCCTTTAGTACTCCTATGCATCGTTCCACACAAGATCGAGCTCGAACATGATGCTGTGTGTATCTTGCTGCTGGTGTACCTTCAGGTACATTCAGCTTAGGTGTCATCAAATATGGCAGCAGTGGATAAGCACTATCACCTATAAAAGAAAAGACATATAAAGTTTATTATACATTGAAAAATATTATTGCCAAGACTGAAATAAAATAAAACACTCTATCAACTAAATATTATTACCTAAAAGCCAAGCATCTCTTCGTCCTTCAGTATACATTTCCTGCAAATGATTCGATAGAAGAGATGCCCTCCACACTCTGGCATCATGTGTTCTTCCACCATGTGCAGCATTTACGGTCAAAATTTTACCTTCATAATCCGATATCTATAAATTTATTACATACATATATTTTATATATATATTGTGTGTGAGTTTTGTATATTATAGATAAAGTTACTTACAATAAGAACATTTAATGAATGATATAATTTTCTATTAATATAGAGATGTTGTCTTTCTGCTTTTGGTGGAACAATTGCTATATGGGTTCCGTCTATTGCTCCAATAACGCCAGGGAACTGTGTACGTGCCCAGAACCTTTAACATTAAAGTAAAATATATTTTTTCTTATATAATGTTACACACATTACAAAGTATCATAATGTTTTACTTATTGAGAAAATATGGTATTTATAACTGTATAAGATTTAACGTTGTAGGATGCCGGGTTAACGTGATCAAATGATTGTACGCGTTTTGAAACGGTTTAAATTAGTTTATTCACTTTTACAAGTTCGTCGCGTACGGAGACTTATGTTTCTCGGCGCTCGCTCTCTCGAGGACTGACTCGAGGGCTGCGCGAATTTCGGAGCTCGCGTAGGGCGGCAGCCGATCGGGGTCCTCGATTGGACCATCGGAAAATCAGGCGATGTACACACGCCAATTAGCGGCGAGTGTACACGTTGGTTTCACGTGTTTCCTTGGCGTAAACACTAAGGAATTTAACAAAAAACATTCTAGAAAATTCGATCGTCCTCGAGGATTCGATCCGAAGAACGAATCTTCAACATACCGCCCGCCTCGTATGCGAACGAATGCGAAATAAATTTAAACGAAGCGGGAACGAATCGTCGAGGAAGATGATTACAAAACATACAGGTGAAGACGACTCGCGCTGAGAAAGTCGTCTCGAAGATTACATAACTCTTACAAGTTAGCGGCTTCATCCGTTGCGGACGCGTTAGAGTTATCACGTATTGGCAGTCGGCATAATTGCGCAATAGGTCGTTTCAATGTGGACCGTGCGGTGCGTATGGTCACAACTCGAACGAGTCCATCAGATCCGGGATGGATCTGCTGTACTCGGGCAAGCTCCCATTTGCTCGGAGGGAGCACGGGACTTTTAACTAATACTAATTCGCCTATTGCGAAGTTAGGAGACTGCTTGCACCACTTGTTTTGCTGTTGAAGCGAATGTAAATAATCCTGTGACCAGGCACGCCACACGGTTTCCTGCATGGCACGGACTAGTTGCCATCGCGAGAGCCTACGCGGGTCGATCGCGAGTACTGATTCCTCCGGAACGGCTACGAGGGGCCGTCCAATCAGAAAGTGACCCGGGGTGAGCGCCGACAAGTCACCCGGGTCGTCACTAAGCGGAGCGATTGGTCGCGAGTTAAGGCACGCTTCTATTTTACATAGAAGCGTCGCGAGTTCAGCCCTCGAAAGTGTGTGGGAACCAACAGCGCGCCTCAGATGCGTTTTAAGGCTCTTGACTCCGGCCTCCCAAAGGCCGCCGAAATGTGGAGCGGCGGAGGGAATGAAATGCCAGTTCACTCCGTCGCCTGCGAGCGCGTTTCGCAATTCAGCATCCTTCGATAAGGATTGAAAGTGTCGATGGAGTTCGTGGTTGGCTCCATGAAAATTTGTGCCGTTGTCGCTATACATGTGACGCGGCAGACCTCTTCGGCTAGCGAACCTCTGATAGGCTGCAAGAAAGCCGGGCGTGGAGTAATCTTCCACTAATTCGAGGTGAATCGTTCTTGTAGCAAGACAAACAAACAGAGCGATATATACCTTTCTGGCCTTTTGCCCTCTGCCGACGAATGAAATTACGTGGAGTGGGCCGGCGTAATCAACACCACAATGAGTAAAAGGCGCCGAAGGGGTGACACGAGCGGCTGGAAGGTCGCCCATGAACTGAGAAGACAATTTAGCCGCTTGACGAGTGCAGACTACACATTTTCGAATGTGCGCCTTTACTGAGCTGCGGCCTCCAATGATCCAGTATCGCTGACGCAGCACACGGAGTACTAGCTGTGTCCCCCCGTGGAGCGTGGATTTATGAGCGCGATCAATTAAGAGATCGGATAAGTGATGTTTCGGAATTATTATAGGATGTTGCTCGTCATAGCTGAGCGCGGAATTCGTCAACCGCCCGCCAAGACGGAGTAAAGAGTCCTCTCCTAGAAAAGGACTCAATCTGCTCAACGAGCTCGAATGCGGTATGGTGCCGTTATTCTTTAGTGAGCGCGTTTCCCGTTCGAAGAATCTCTGTTGCAGATAGCGCAACCAGAAGAGTTCCGCCCTCCTAAACTCATCGGCGTTCAGAAGGGGGGATTGTTGGGAGCGAGACGCGCTCTTTTCTTTTACACGATGAATAAAGCGATTCATATAGGCAGTCACGCGGACAAGCTTGGTCCAAGTGGAGAACCTATATGGGAGTTCCCAATCCTCGGCCTCTTGAACATGGAGCGTCACAGGCCGTCTTCTTTCCACCGACACCTGCTGATCGGTGACAGAGTCGAGCGGAGCTGAGACATTCAGAATCGGCCACGCAGTTGATGGTTTCTGAAGCCATCGTGGACCGTTCCACCATAGCGGGTGAGTCACGAGCTCGGAGGCGGTCAAGCCGCGCGAGGCACAGTCCGCCGGATTATCGCGAGACGGAACGTGATTCCAACAAACGGAATCCAGACCGGTATGCACCTCGGATACGCGGTTAGCCACGTAGGTGCTCCATTTTGATGGATGTTGACGGAGCCACGCGAGAGCGATGGTCGAATCCGTCCATCCGTATATTGGAATCGGAGGTAATTTCAACGATGTCAAGGTCCACTTGATTAGCCGGCTGAGGAGGACGATAGCGTTCAGTTCCAAGCGCGGGATGCTTACGGTTTTGATCGGCGCGACCTTTGTTTTAGCAGCGAGCAGAGTGATTTGAAACTTCGTTGGCGAAGGAAGCACTCGAATATAAACGACCGCCGCGTAAGCGCGGTTTGAAGCGTCGGCAAACCCGTGGATTTCGAACGCGAGGTTATTGGAATGTCGACCGGTCCAACGCGGTATTCGGACGCGGTTCAATGATTCTAAATCGTTGGTGTAGCTCTCCCAACGATCGCGCAACTCCTCTGGAAGAGGGGAGTCCCAATCACATTTGAGAAGCCATAATTCTTGTAGCAAGATTTTCGCGGTTACAACAACCGGAGCAGCCCATCCTAGTGGGTCGTATAATTTTGCCGTGAACGAGAGAACGGAACGTTTCGTGTGCGTAACCGATCTCAACGGAGTTATCACGAATTTGAACGCGTCCTCTTTAGCAAGCCATGAAAGCCCGAGAACCTTGAGATTATCTTCTTTTACGAGTAAATGATCGGTGACTTCCGGCTGATGAGCCGAAAGTCCTTGAAGAAGAGAGGAGGCATTAGAAGCCCACTTTCGTAGTTGAAAACCTCCCTTTCGCAGGATCTCAACTAGTTGGACACGAGCTTCTATCAATGAAGTCGTATCGTCCGCTCCAAAGAGTGCATCGTCCACGTAGAGGGACTCGCTGAGAATTGGAACAGCCGCGGGATAGTTGTCGCCTTCATCTAGAGAAAGCTGTTTCAGTACCCTCATTGCGAGGTATGGAGCGGGGGCGAGCCCGTACGTTACAGTGAGAAGGCGATAGTGTTCAATCGGCCCATCGGCCGACGATCGCCATAAGATTCTTTGAAAATCCGCGTCAGACGGATGCACGAGAATTTGGCGGAACATTTGAGCAATGTCCGCCGTGTAAACAAATTGCCATTGACGCCAGCGCAATAATATAGCGGAGAGGTCTTGCTGCAGTCTCTGACCGATCAGTAAGTGATCGTTAAGCGAAGTCTTATTGCTCGTTTTGCACGAAGCGTTGAAGACAACGCGCAATTTCGTAGTGCAACTCGAGTCGCGCAAAACGGGATGATGAGGAATATATACCGGCTCGAACTCGGAGCGGTCAGACAATTCCACCTTCCTCATATGACCGAGCGAATTATACTCTCGTAAGAACTCGTTGTACTGCGCGTGAAGTTCAGGACGAAGCCGTAGCTTGTCTTCCATTTTATTATAAAGCGAGGTTGCAATGTGCAAAGAATCACCGATTTTTATCGGGAAATCATGCCTGAAGGGCAATCGAACCGCATAGCGTCCCTGAGGGGTACGATAGTGGTTGGCGATGAAATGAGCCTCGCACCTCTCCTCCTCCTCCGTGAGGGGGACAGGCCGCGAGATCTCCTCATCTTCCCAGAACTTCTGGAGAAGAGAGTGCGTGCTTTGTTCCAACACGCAGTTTAATACAGATGCTTGAGCAGTAGTAATCGGCCTACTATTTGTGGGGCCGGAAAGGATCCAACCGAGAGCGGTCAATTGCGCTGTCGGAGTTCCAAGAGGACCTTGACGGACATCGCGCTTCAGAAGCGAGCCGTAAAGGTCAGCACCGATCAACAAATGAATTTGATGTTGACTTGAAGGATCAGGGTCAGCAAAAGATAGACCCTGTAAATGAGGCCACGCATCGAAGGGCTGAATCCGCGAGGCAGCGTATGAAGTAATGCGTTGAAAAATGTAAGCCGTCAGAGGAAAGCTCGGATCGGCTTGAGCACACGGGGTTAACTGTAGTTTTACGCGCGATTTCGCAGTACCCGTGTATTTTTCGCCGAAGCATTTAATTTGTAAATCGGCTCGTTGCCGTTTAGTGCGCAACGCCTGTGAGAGCGATTCTGATATAAAGCTAAAAGTGGATCCTTGATCCAACAACGCGCGAACCTTTAAGCAGCGACCCTCCCCGGTGTGGAGGTCGACCCATGCTGTCGCCAAAAGGACATTTGGATGTTCCTGAAGCGAGGGGGGTACTATCTGGACGGCCGCAATCGTATTGACCGTTTGATTAGGAGTCGCATTAGATGCGGCTTGTGACGCAGATTCGGAGGTAGTAGCCTCGGAACTGGCCAAGTTATCAGAGGCATTTTGATTTGCCGCTGAATGCAGCAATGTGTGATGCGAGCGACGACATTGTCTGCACCGATATTTGCTCGGGCATTTCGACGGGAAATGTCCGGACTTTAAGCAGTTAAAGCAAAGTTTATGCTGGCGCGCGAGAGCAAAGCGCTGTGAAGCTGATTTCTTCGCGTAGTCTTCGCATTTCGAAACGTGATGCTCACCGGAGCAACAAATACATTTAAAGGCAGTCACGTTGTTTACTGTTAAACGCGGTTTATCATTTTGCGAAAAACCGGAGTCCTTGCTTGAATCGGCAAAGTCCGACAATCCGCGTATACGGAGAGTTAAAAACTCATTAAGCTCCTGATAAGAAGAAGGCTCATTTCGTTTGATTCGCCTTAAATTCCATTCGGTACGTGTTCTCGCGCTAAACTTTTGCGTTATTGTATAAACAAGAATGTCGTCCCATTGTTCTACGGGACGATCGAGATTTTTTAACGCGGCTAACGATGCAGACACTGTGTCGCGCAATTTTCGCAAATCGCTTACAATCTCGCTTTTCATTACCGGAAGGCTAATAAACGCGTGTAAATGAGCATAGATTAACGCTTGCTTATCGTCATATTCATTGGTTAACAATTGCCAGGCAGATTCGTAATTCGCATCGGAAATTTTTAAATTATTGATCAGCAAGGAAGCGTCTCCCGTTACGCTCGTTTTTAAGTAATGAAATTTTTGAGAATTTGAAAGAGCGTCGTTAGTTACTACGAGAGATTCAAAAATGTTTCGGAAATTTTCCCAATCGGTTAATTTCCCAGAAAACTTTGGCAGCGCGATGCGTGGCAATTGGAAGCAATGATTATTTGTTTCGCGAACGGAGGAATCGGAACTACGATCGGTAAACGGAATTGTATTAGGAGATAATCGACTTATCGTATCTTGCAGCAGATCGGCCGTGTCGATGTAGACATCCTCAGCTCTCAGGAACTCTTCCAGAGTGAAGTACGGCAAGGTCGTTTGCTGCTCCGTAGTCGTCTTTTGAAGCAGTTTGACATGAAGGCCGCGGCAGGCGGCCCAGTGCTCCTCCAACTTGGCAAGCCTACTTCGCGTCTTGGCGAGTGTCACGTTGGATTTGGCCAGCTTCTTGAAGTTGACGAGATCTCGTTTGATCTCGTCAATACAAGCTCCCTGCTCGATGAGCAGGTCACTCACGGCAGTCGACATGATTATCGATGCCGGACTGTTGAATCGTTTATCGATTATTCGCTACTGAAGCGAAATCTTCAAGCGCGCGCGCGGACTTGAAGCGCCCGCTGATTGACGCGCGAGAGAGAGTGAGAGAGTCCGAGCGCGAGTTAGCGCACCGTCACGTTAAGCCGTTATCGGCTGTCTTTCTCACACAAAGCGATTGCGTGGCGCGTGATAGCGGCGTCGAAATTGCAAATCGCGTGGGTTTTTAAATCTTTAGAAACGTCGAAAATCACCGGGATGATCGAGAGAGTCAAAGAGAGATGCACGACGCGGACGCGTGATAGCGGCGTCGAAATAGCAAGTCGCGCACCTTTTAAAAATGTTTCGAAACGTCGAAAATCAACAAGATAATCGAGAGAGTCACAGAGAGATGCACGACGGCGGACGCGTGATAGCGGCGTCGAAATAGCAAGTCGCGCACTTTTTAAAATGTTTAGAAACGTCGAAAATCAACAAGATGATCGAGAGAGTCACAGAGAGATGCACGACGCGTACGCGTGATAGCGGCGTTCGCGGTCGTTTACACTGTGGTCTGCGAGAGTCAAAAGTCAGTGAGAAAAATGCACTGGTTAAGATTCACCGGTGCGGTGCGCGTGATAGCGGCGCACGTTCACTGAGAGTCACTGTTAATCAGTACGAGTCACGATTAATCATTGAGAGTCACTGCGAATACCGTAACGCAAAGCGCGTGCTTGCGGCGCTTGCGGATAACTCGCGAATGTTCACCGCACTCAATTAAAAATCACTGGCGCGTGATAGCGGCGCCGGAGTTGAGAGTCACTGAGCGCGAGTAGCGGAGTACACGTGCAGTCACTAATCTCGAACGGCGTTTAACTGCCGTCCGAATGCAAGATTGCAAAGCGCGTGATAGCGGCGCTTGCACTGCAAGTGACACTTCAACGTCGAAATTCTGTCAACTCAAATGCAGAATTCGATGTACACCGGGTACGTGAGGGCGCGTGACCGTCACGTGGCCGGAGCGCCGCGGCTTAGGCCGGAGCGACGGCAGGCGCGCGGCCGAGAGAGCCGCAGCTAGAGAGAGAGAGAGCGAGCGAGAGAGCTTCGGAGCGCGCGGCGTGATACCGTCTCTCTCGCTCTTCACGTCTTGGAGAGAGCGCGAGAGAGAGAGAGAGAGAGAGAGAGACTGTTTCGGAGCGCGCGCGACGGCTAATTGTCGTGTAGCGCGGTCTCACTCCCGCACACGGAGTTTTTCTACTCCAAACGAGAACGCGTAATTAGCGGATTTCTCGTGCCGCGGATCACTGCGTTTTTTAAATTTACTGCCCCGATATAGGCACACGAGGCAGAAATTGTCAATTGTTCGAATAAGGTACGAAACGAAGGAGTCCGTTATTTTCGCGATTTCACTATCACTCGATCGGTTTTTAATCTCCGGCTCGAAGGACCATTTTATTATGTATAAGATTTAACGTTGTAGGATACCGGGTTAACGTGATCAAATGATTGTACGCGTTTTGAAACGGTTTAAATTAGTTTATTCACTTTTACAAGTTCGTCGCGTACGGAGACTTATGTTTCTCGGCGCTCGCTCTCTCGAGGACTGACTCGAGGGCTGCGCGAATTTCGGAGCTCGCGTAGGGCGGCAGCCGATCGGGGTCCTCGATTGGACCATCGGAAAATCAGGCGATGTACACACGCCAATTAGCGGCGAGTGTACACGTTGGTTTCACGTGTTTCCTTGGCGTAAACACTAAGGAATTTAACAAAAAACATTCTAGAAAATTCGATCGTCCTCGAGGATTCGATCCGAAGAACGAATCTTCAACAATAACATATATATTTATACAATAATTTTTTGTTACAGATTCTAATTGCGTTAAATTTTATGGCTTCCAGTTCATATAAAAAAAGAGTTGAACAGAATTATTTATCATGTGTAAGCTAATCAACAGTCAGCAAAATTCTACGCTTTTATGTTGTCAATACGTTGAATATTTTAATGCAACAATGGATTCAATTTCCAATTAAAGAGTTAAAATAATTACTTAATTTATTCATTATTTACTATGATATAATGCGTAATATGTATGTATTATAATATGTACTATTACTTTATTATAGATTAAATTCATTAAACTTACCTTTCTTTCACATGCTGAATTTCTCCCTCTTTGATTGGAAATTGAATCCACTGTTGCATTAAAATATTCAACGCATTGACAACATTGGATAGAATTTTGCTGACTGTTGGTTGGCTTACACATAATAAATAATCCTGTCCAACTCTTTTTTGATATGAACCAGAAGCTATAAAATTTAACGCAATTAGAATCTGTAACAAAAATTGTTGTATAAATATATTATAAATACCATATTTTTTCTATAAGTAAAATCATTATAATACTTTGCAATGTGTGTGACATTTATATATATATATATATATATATAAAAAAAAACTGTTAATCTCGGCTCAAATTATTGTGTTACAATAAAAATAAAATCTCGACGGCAATCGGAGCCTGTGCGGATGACATGCACAAAATTAATAAATTAAAATGAGATCTCAAGTCAAACTCATTTATTAAATTCTAAACGTTTCGACCCACTTCGGGTCTTCTTCAGTAGAATCCGCAAATAAATTAAATATCATTCTCCTCCCTATTCGAACCGTCCGGCCGTCGGAGTGTCTCCCTAACGGTGACCATCGTCAGGAAGGAAGCAGAGCAGTGACTCCCTTACCAACACCCGACAGCAAAAACAGAGAGAAGACGATGCTACACGTGACACATCACTCTAACGACTGATATATACATATATTACATGAGGTGAGGCACAGATGTGATTTATTTATAATAAATAAACGTTATTTGAATGTAATGTATAAAAAGATTGTGAAATAGTTACATGTTTGAACACATAAACGCTATCCAGCTATCCAGAAGGAAAGTGTATTACCACACACACACACACACACACACACACACACACACACACACACACGTATACATTTTTCTTTATAATGCTCAGAATAAAAAATCAGCACATGATCCACATTCTCTCAAAAACCATGAAATATGACACACATTTTTCATACATAATTTCCAATATTTTTAAACATAATTAATTGTGTCTGCGCGTACGCTCGATTGTTGATGTCGAACGTTCGCGCACGAAGCTACGGACACCGACAATCGGGTTGTAAATCCGATCGTCGAACTCCGTCTCGTGTATCGGTTGCACAAGAAGGTTCCAAGTGGACTGTATCTTAAGGAGGGTGGATGCGCTCCGATTGGTGCGCGGGATAGGTAATGATTTAAGCCGCGTGCCGAATCGAGAACTAGAATACTGAATTATATGCACACATTACAAAAACAATCCATTTATTAATTAAACTAAATTTGTCCGGGAATCACAATATACAAAAACGCAAATTAGTTTGAAACTTTTACATAAAATCTTTAGCTCAGAAAATAGTCACCGCGAGAACACGTACGACGTGATTGCTAAGCAGCCCGGGCTATCTCGCTGTATGGTATCTAGCATGTGTTGCATGGAACCACCGAGAAACTATTTGTTGCATAACAATTGCTATTGACGATGAACACGCTCGAAACTCATGTATCGAATCTTTCGAAATCTCACCTTAAGATTTCGTACACGTTGCCGATTGCGGCGAATGCGATATTAAATCGCGAACCAAATTGTCTCATTTAACATGGATAGTCACTGATCACATAAAACGTTACAGTGCGTTGAGCACCACGGGCTCGAAGGGATGAAAAAAGGAACGCAAACACAATCACGACATCAGGTGTCAGTCCCAAGTGACTGATCACGTGATCTGCGCGCACCAACTCACGTGATCTACGCGTGCCAAACGAACACGCGCGAACCTCATGTATCGAACAGATACTTTTAATTAGTACAATTATTACGTACGTGTAAACGATCGGATTTCGGCACCTTGATATTTCACCGCCGCGCGAATTCTGGTCACACGAAATCACTGAATATCGCTTCGTTGAAAATGTCTTAAACGCAAACTTTATGTCGCGTATATAACGGTGCACCTTGCTGCTACCGTTAATTAACGAATGTCAAAATGAACGTATTTCACATCTCACATATCACTGAATCCCAGCAGGAGATCAATCTGACTATTTTTTTTTTACAAAACTAGCTACGAACTATTAGAATCGCGACGAGAAAACCCACATGTGACTGTTCGCAAAGTCGAGCCGAGAACGAATGACCAAGCTCGATGACGAGGCAGTTCATCCCCGATCGATTCAATAATCGAACGCTCGAAGCGCGGCGTGTAGGTTCAGTGCGTGCTGCCCCGTGCCGGATTAAATCAAGAATTATAGAATTTCAAAATTATCGACCTACTTCTTCATTATTTTTGAACAAATAATAAAAGTCTTGACCCGGGGTTAACTTACTTCTGAACAAATTGTAACAATAATTTTTGGTATCACCAGTCTAGGTTTCATCACAGTAATAATTTAAAATATGATATTTAGTATTAAAGCAGAAAATCTATAACTTAACAAAAATAATTTTATTTATTTTATGATCTCCTTCGACAGTGCACTGCTGATTTCACTAAAACATCTGATAGCTATTACATTGACTTTGCAACCACATTTTCTAATAAATTTTTATTAATCAGTGTAATTTCTGTAACATGTAATGTTACGAAAATTGTATGTTACTTTGCACTTATTATTATATTAATTTTATAAATATAATTAACTTTTTTATAATTTTTATTATATTAGCACAAAATACATATTTATAAATATATAATTTTAATATTGATTGATATAATATAAAAAACACTGATGTATACCTTAATAATATATTAAATAATGCAGAACATTACACAAAACATTTTAAAACTATTATAATTATATATAATGAATATTTCAGATTTTTATACGATAATGAATAAAATAAACAAAAATATAAAATAATATCAATTGTGTGTATGTGTGTGTAAAATGAAGACGAGTAATAAGTCATAATGAGTCAATGATCGATATTTATCAATTTGTTGCATATTGAATATCATCCAACTATCCCCTTGAAAAAATAATAGTTTTGATTTTCTGCTTGAATTTGCGCATACCATGGAATATAAAAAAATCGTAAAAATCGGGATATGTTTCTGTAATATAAGTAATAGGTAAGCAATCAATCTCTAATTCATTAATATTTTCTACGGACCATCGGAAAAATGTTTCGTACACCGGATGACTATAATCTCGTATTATTTTTATGAGAGGACAATGCTTTTCCAAATCCCAATTATGCAAGTAACGTAGATCATCATCTGTTTGTGATTCTGCAATTTCCCTCATAAAATTAATAAAACTTGGGCGATGTAATTGGCTAAATTCACAAAAAATTTAAAATATGTAGAAAAACATTACAAATACGTGAAAATTGTTTGTGTAATATTTATGTTATAAAACATTTTAATAAATACTAAGAAACAAAATATAAAATTGCATTTTTCTTTATAAATTTATATATCTATTTATATATCTTATATTTATATTATGATAATAAAGAATATAACATAATTTTAAATGCAATTAAATAATATATTATTTAATTTTTCATTAAAGCACTAAAACAGATTATATTTGAACAAAGTATTGGGAGAGTTATAAAATGATTTTGAACAATAACAAAACAAATTAAAAGAAAATAAAGACAAAACAAAAAATCAGAAAAATAAGTAGGTAGATCTACGAGAGAAGAATGATGAAAAATGGAAAAGGTAATGGAAAAGAGATGTTAGATATTTAATAACCTGTTAAAAAAGATTAGAAAACATAAAAAATAGCAAAAGATGCAATTAAAAAAAAAGAAATTATAAGAATTATGGACAATATACATATATATAAATAAGGGAAATAATAAAAAGAATAAAAATAATTTTAAAAATTATTTTCAAAAAATAACAAATTATGAAACAAAAATAAACAAAACAACAATAAATCTGCATATGAAAGAGAGACAACGATAAATCAACAACTTCTTTCTACAAAAGCGGTTTTCATAGTAAAAATAATGAAATTAAAAATAAATTTAGTAGAAAAACGAGAAAAATAGCGGAATTGTAAAACTAAAAAACACCATTATGAAATAATGTCAGAAGAAGCAAGAAAATTAAGGGACATTTTATAAAACTTCTATTATTATACATTATTTAAGTTATGTAATTTTATTTTTTTTATATTATATTCTGTTGCGAACGCGCGGCTTGAACCGTGGTCCGACACGAAGCTGCGACGAACGAGCATGCTCGGCCTTTTTAGGGCCGCGTCTCGCGCGCCGCCTCTCAAATCCTTCACTCCTTTTTTTTTATTGGAAAGAAATCATAGGAATCTCATGAGAGATGTGATGGATGGACAATAGGATAATTGTAGAGTGGACTGTATCTTAATAGGGTGATCGCGCACCCATGTGTGCGCTGAGATTGATGATTTACGCAGGAGGCCGAATTGAAAAAGAGTCTTGAAGTTGATGAACAAAAACAGATCAATTTATTATATCACACGTCAGAAAGTCACCTGGACTTGACACAAACAAACCAAAGAAAAAACAAAAACTCGATATGAGAATCGAACGCGTTTGCTGTACGCGCAGCAAATTTACATTTGACAATTGATCACTTATCGAACACCTGATTGTGTATCACGCGTCGCACAAAACAATTATTCGTGTCGAAGCTCGCGATCACAAGAAAGAAAACTGTTTGTTCGATATCGATACCAAAGTCTTTTGTCGCAAGAAAAAACAATGTCCTATTTGAAAGTCACGATCGCGGATCGTACAATAACAAATTTGTCCTCTTGTGGACGACCCTTATAATTTATCGAAAACGCGCACATATGATTTGACGCGACTCAATAATTGTCTTCAATTATGTGACATTCAATCCTCCAGCAGGATCCGAATACTCGTAATGTTCGATCACGTGCATTTATATGCAATTAACTATCACACAAAATCCTCCAGAAGGATTCGAATATTCGCAGGAGTCGATCACGTGTACGCAGCGTGCACAATCCGACGGCGAATTCGTCGCGACGGCGTACTACGACAATTGTGAGAGAGAGCGCGGGAGAGAGAGAGAGAGAAAGAGCGAGAGAGAGAATGCACGACATGCATTCACCTATACGCGAATATCGCAGTGAATCCTCCAGCAGGATCCGAATACTCGTTATGTTCGATCACGTGCACGTAGCATGCACGAGACAATGGCGAATTCGTCGCGAGAACGTGTATGTTGCGTCGCAAACGAGATCCGATTACCCGTTAACTTTTCACTCTCGATATGTCACAAAATACTGCGCAAATCTGTTCGTATTTGTCGCGATAATACATTCACGCACTTATTACACCGTAACGCGAATTCTTTAGTCTGACTTGCGACCCACGCCGGCTCTCTCTCCGCGACGACTGTTTCCGACGGAATGCTACCCTCATCGATCACGCTATCGACCGCCTGATCGCGAGGGGTACACGCGGAACGCGCTAATTGGCCGAAAATTTGCTTCCGCGGCGCTTCCCGCGGTGCGTGCCGCGAGGTGCTGCCGTGTTAGGCCCGCGGCAATTGCTTTTACCTAAATTCTCGACTGATCCGTGAAATTATATGCATAATAGATATGCAACAAAACTATTATTATTAACAATATATATTTGCAATCCAGATATTATATGAAACTATTCACACACAAGAAAAATAATATTTTGAAAAGTAATTGCTGGTGTACGATTACATTTTTGTTTAATTGGCAAACAAATATTTAATAAAATTTATTAATTTAAAAAAAGGAAAAAAAATGAATCTTTTCAATATAAAAAAAATATAAATATATAAATAAATACATAATAACAAAATATATACATTCTAAGCATTTAAATAATAATACAATTTTAAAACAAGACCATTTATATAAATATTTATATACAACGTATTCTAATTATGTTATTCAATATTTTTCAATATTTCTCTCTAATAATTTATTTATAATAAATAAACACAATTTGAATGTAATACGTGATTGCCATTTTCCAAATTATGTAAGCGATTATCTAATCGTGTACATAAAATTTTTCAAATATTTCAAATATATATCAATTGAGATATTCAATTTGAAATATTTATTTTATTATTATTTTGTACATATGCACAAAACATAACTTCGGAATATTTCAAATACATATTAATTGAAATATTTAATTTCAAATATTTATTTTACTATTATTTTGTAAATATACTTAAAACGTTACTTTCGGAATATTGCATATACACACCAATTGAGATATTTCATTTGAAATATTTATTTTACTATTATTTTGTAAATATACCTAAAACGATAACTTTGGAATGTTTTAAATATATATCAATTGAGATATTTCATTTGAAATATTTTTAATATATACTATGATGAAATATTTCAATTGTAACATTTATGAATTATATCAAAAACAAATACGTAAAATGTATCATTTGAAATCTAAATGAAACAATTTGAAACATTGCATGTATATTTCATGTTTAGTGGGTTAACGTTAACAGGAATTTTCAAGATCTCTGCAAGGTCAAATGAATATCAGCATCATCTGTCTTTCTTCAAATCCTATGGTGTTTGTTTGAAACATTTTTTCGTCTTGCATATTTAACAAGTTTATTTAAATGTCGTAGGAAGTTTTATTATCAATAAATCATCAATGCCTCTTAAAAATTCTTGTTTAATCTGTAAGTAAATCCTGTATTTATAAATCTTGTTTGTACAGAAATACCTATTTCATAAGTAAATTTTGTACTTATTAAATATCTCGAAAGTATATAGAAAAATTTCAGACAAAAGTTGTTTAGTTTAAAGGGAAAACAAAGATAGGCATTTAACTTCGATTGGTATTCATCATTTTGTGCATAAAAATCTTGAGGTAAGATTATTGAATCAAATATTGTGAAGAATCGATATATTAAAAAAAAATAAAATGTTTCTATTTATAAAAAAAATTAGATTTACTTCAAATTTTCGATTATGATTTTTAATTTTAAAAAATTTTAGGTCTACTGCATTGATGATTTATTTACAATAATAATAAATAAATACTATTTTGACGTGTCAATGTGATTACGTGAATTACAAGTACTATACAAAAGAAAAATGAACAGATGTAATTTCATTTCTTTTTAACTGCAGTTTCTGAAGTATTGTTTAATTAGTGTAATAATTTTGAATCTTTGC